TTCTATCTCCAATCCTATTAATTTTTATAACATTATCCTTTAAACTCTTATCTATAATAACACCTACACAATTTCTAATACGACTCCTACCCGTATACCAAAGTTTAAATCCTAAACTATCAATTTCCTTAGCCTTCTCTCCAACCCACTTAGTTTTCTGAATGCAGAAAATATTTAATTTCCTATGAATCATAATATCTATTAATTTCATTAATTTTTCTATAAGGGAAGCTATATTCCAAGTTCCTTTCCTAATTTTAGTTTCATGGACTAGCTTCTTTGCCCACATCCATCCTTGATGTGGGAACCGTGGTGCTAAAGACTACAACACTACATTCCTACATGCATAAATTTTATTTATTATAGATCAGAGGATACACCATCATCGAGAAAAATATAAGTGACATAGCTCTCTTAATGCCACTGAGTACTCCAAAATAACGTCAATATGCTATACTTCAAATTTATCATATTTTCAAATTAATCAACTTGATGGGGAGGGGAGGGCACAAAATAATAAAGTGACAATGGATATTTACATTAACATATATAAAAACATAAATCGCTACCTAACGTAATGGTGCTACCGACCACAACATTACATTCCTGCGTGTATAAAGTTTACTTATTGTATATTAGAGAATAGAGCATCGTTGAGAAAACTTCTAGTGCCCTACCACCCCCAAAGCTATTACATTCTCCACCACAACATCGTGGTGATGCAGTTCAAAATTTTCATATTATCATATTAATCTATTTTTTTATAGAGGGTGGGAATAAAGAAGTGATAGTGGATATTTATATTAAAATATATAAAAACATCATTTAGATTCTAACACCACGGTTCTACAAACCACAACACTGCATTCCCACTTGCAATTTTTTTGTATTTGGCATATCAGAAAATATATCATCATCGATGAAATTCTTGTGCCCTAGCTCCACCAATGCCCTTTAGTTCTCTAGTACAACATTGCATTTCTACGGTTCAAATTTTTTTTATTTCCAAATTAATCCATTTTAAATTTTGAGTTCTTATAGGATATACTTTAAAGTGTATAAATATAGAACAGTTTGGAGAGTTATGTAAAATACTCATAAAATAAAGTTTTAACATATCTTCTTTCCAAAAATATTTTTAAAACCTAAATTTCTTCTTGATGACATTTTAAAAGCGCTGAACAAAAAGTAGCATTTTTTTGCAACTATTTGTCAGCTTTTATGGTATCATGATTAGCCATACATGGCCAAAATATGTTAGCCATTGTTGTGCTTATTGGATGAGTTATATCTTATAGAATAATAAATTTTTATTTTGATATTTTTAATTATGGATATTTGTGACAGTTCTAACCACCATAATCACATTTTTTTTTGTTTAAACCGCCACAATTTTGTGAATTTTATTTTATAGTACAAAATATGGTGGTTATGACTGTTTCCACTCTAATAGTTTGTGTTAGTTAAAAATGATACGATAACCATCACTTCATTATGCATACCTCAATTGTGAAACCCCTTATGTAAAAAAGAAAACGAACTCTTAAACATTAATGCGCCATTTGGTGTAATGGCTGGAATTTTCATAAGAAATTTCACAGTAAAGTGTGCTCCTCCCAGAGCAATTCTGTGAGGCTCTTAGGCTAAAGTAGATAATATCTCGATAGCTAAGTGTTTGGGCTATTACAAACGGTATCAGAGCAATACACCAGTTGGAAGAGGGGAGCTAAGTGCCATACAAGACAAAATTCTATGCCCTGAGAGCCACCTCTTGAATCTTGTATGGGACAAAATGCTACATGATAGGAGCCACCACTTGAGCTTGTAGATGCCACCTCTAGAGTCCTATCTGCCAGGTGGATGATTCTGGGATAGAGATGCTGACGATGATGTTAGTTACTTACGTCGGGGAGATTGTGAAACTCCTTAAGTAAAATAAAACTAACTCTTAAACATCGAAGCACCTTTTGGTGTAATGGCTGGAATTTCCATAAGAAATTGTACAATTAAACATGCTAATCCCAGAAAAATTCTGGGATAGGTGACCTACTAAGAAGTTACACCAAGAAGAAAAAACCTTGAGGCTCTTAGGCCAAAGAAGATAATACCTTGAATGTTAAGATTTTGGGTTGTTATACCAATGGCCCTAAAATATCCAATAAATAACATTGCAGTGCATTACAATCACGACGATCCTTCACTAGTTAAATAACTAGTACAAGAAATTTTATGTTCATTGAAACCAAGGGGGTAGGGAAAATATTTAAGTGATGATATATATTTATAATAAAATATACAAAAATATCATTAAGTGTCTAGTGTCGCGGTGCTAAAAACCACAACACTGTATGTATACCTGCAAAAACTTTATTTATTGAGTATTAGCAAATAGAAAGTTGTGAAAACAAATTCAAGTGCCCTAGCTCCCTAATGTCATTGTGTATTCCAATGCAGCATCGTGATGCAATATATCAAAATTTTCTTAGTTTCAAATTAATCCATTTGAGGGGGATGGGATGGGGGTGAATTAAGAAGTGTCGGCAGTGGCAGAACCAAGTTTTGTTCAAGGGGGGCAATTGCCCCCCCCCGTTTGTAGAGGGGGGGCCATGCCCCCCCCCCCCCCCCCCCCGCGCTTAAAAAAATTTAATTACATATAAGGGCATTTTAGTTGTTAGCCCCCTCTGAAAAATGCTTTTGCCCCTTTTTTGCCTCTTTTTTTCCCTAACATCCAGTGACTGCCTCTAGTCCTCTCATTATTTTTCTTCTTGAATCGCAAGGAGGCCGCACGCTCTTCCCTCTTCTTCACGCCGCAGTAGGTAGAAGTCGCAAGCAAACCAAAACTCCCTCGCAAGCAGGCCGAAGCTGCCTCGCAAGGGCTAACCAGGCCGCAGCACCTCTCCAAGCCCCAAGGAATCGTGATTGTGTGAGTTTTTCTTCTTGTTTTTGAAATTTTTTTTTCTTCAGATTTTTGTTTCTTCTCTCAAATTTCTTATTTTGGTTGCTAAATCAAATGGTTTATCTTTTCCTGCAAAAGAAATGCAAGAGTTTTGGCTTTCCTGTTTTTTTTTTCTATCTTTTCCTTTTGATCTGTTACAGAAAGAAGGCTCTTATTTTTTTGCTTATGTTCTAATGGTTCGATTCATCTCTCCTGTTCTAATGAACTACAAGTAGGGCTGCTAAATGCTAGATCATATAATATATAATGTGTAATATGAATGATGCTTATGTTCGTTAACCCCCATTTTATGATTTCTATGCTTCATTGATTTGTTTTTGGTGCCCTAATGCCGGGAAATGGGGTTTATCTGAACTCTTTTGATGTTAAAGATAAAATTGGTAGTTTGTTCATTTCTGGTTCAATGTGAATTTTGACAATCATTTTTTTTTTTGCTTGGAAGTATTTCTTTTTGCAACTAAAATGCATTTTCTTTTTCTGTTTTTTTACCCAAATTTATGATCTTTATTTAATTCCTTTGCTTTGTACATGAAAATATCTCTTGAACTTTATAATATAAAAATTGATGAGCAGCTGGAGTGCATATTGTTTTCATATGCATATATAAATAATATATGGGATGAACTTTTCTACCCTTATGGGGAATTCATTCTCCACCTATTTAGATTTTGAAGTCACCATCTTAAAATGTAGGATTAAAATTGTTAATTTTTTTTTACATAATTTAAATTAAAGATGTATCTGATTTCAATAATTTTTAAGGTTGTTTAATCATCTATTGGTTGTTTTTTTTAATGTTTGGTCAGATTGTATAGATGAACACTAAAATTCCCTGCACAAATCAATAATTAAGCAACATTTTGTGATCATTTATTTTCTTTCTACAATAACAAATTTCTGCGTGTATGTATAGATAAACACTAAAATTTCATTAGAATGATGTGATGTACTTTTGTCAACAAAATCCTCTAAATGATTTAGTTTCTTTTGGTTATGGCTAGTTATTACCCCCACTTATAAATGACAAAGCATAAGTTAGTGCTGAAAGAAACTCCAGAATATTGTGATAGAGATTGGATAGCTTAAGAGGCTAATCTTTTAATTTTTTTTCTAATTGTTGCATATATGTTGTTATGGATTGTTATTATTTTTAGATTGATTCCTTATATGTTATTTAACTTTTAATATTAAACTTTTCTTTGTTTGATCTTACTAAAGGAGTGTCGACCACGTTAATATAAATTTTCACAGGATATATCAAATCTTTTTTTGATTCAAATGGAACGTTATCTAAAGTGGAAAGAGCCTTTGGAGACTGATATTAGCAGTCTCCCAATTGATCCTAAAATTTGACCTTCAATTTGGTGTTACGATGTAAATGAAAGAGATAAAATTCGGAGAGCATATCTATTGAAGGGATCACATCAACCAAAAAATCATCAATTCCCCCAAACAATATTTAGCAATCTTGCACGTAGATTTAATCCAAGATGGTTTGAGGAATATTTTGATTGGTTAGAATACAGCGTGCAAAAAGATGCTACTTTTTGTTTGTATTGCTACTTGTTCAAACCTTAAGATAAAACTATTTCAGGATAGGGTGGGGGAGACTCATTTATTGGAGAAGGGTTCAGAAATTGGAAAAAGAAAGAAAAACTATTAAGTCATGTTGGAGATCATAATAGTGCACATAAAAAGCTAGACATAAATGTGAAGATCTGATGAGCACAAAAGTACAAAGTCTTCTTGTTCTATGGTTGAGCAACGATGAGAGAAATAGAAAATATTATAGGGTTATGTTGACTGCTGCAGTTGATTATGTATGATTTCTATTATGCCAAGGGTTATCATTTCGTGGTCATGATGAGTCTTCTGGATCAGAGAATCAAGGAAATTATTTGGATCTATTCAATTTTCTTAGTAATCATAATGATGAAATAAAGAAAGTTTTATCTACATATTCAAGCTCAAATTTGAAGTTAACTTCACCAAAGGTCCAAAAAAAATTTGTTCTGCTGCAGTTGGTGAAACTTTGATATCAAACATGAAAGATATTGGAGACTCCTACTATGCCACTTTGGTAGATAAATCTCGTGATGTTTCTACAAAGCAACAGCTGGCTGTTGCAGTGAGATATGTGGATAGTTTAGGACAAGTTGTTGAAAGGTTTATAGGCATTAAATATGTCGCATCGACTAATGCTATTGCATTAAAAGAAGCCATGGAAGATATACTTGCTAAACACTCATTGATCATACATAGGATCCGAGGTCAATGATATAATAGAGCATCTAATATGCATGGGGAGTTTCATGGCTTGTAAGGCTTTAATACTTAATGATAACCCTCATGCATTCTATGTTCACTATTTTGCTCACCACCTTCAACTATGTTTAGTGGCTGTAGCTAAAAATCATTAGCATGCGAAGCATCTTTTTGAGATTACTTCAAGAATTGTTAATACAGTTAGAGCTGCATGTAAGAGGAGTGATGCTCTTAGAGCAATTCAACATGATAAAATAATGTTTCATTTGTCTAATGGAGACTTAAATATTGGTAGAGATTTGAACCAAGAGACAAGCTTATAATGAGCTGGTGACACTCGTTGGGGTTCACATTTTCATACATTAATTAGCTTGAAGAAAATGTATGCTTCAGTAATTGAAGTTGTTGAAATTATCAAAGAAGATGGGGTACATGATCAACAAGCAGTTGAAGCTGGTGTTCTGATAAATGCCATGAAATTTTTTGATTTTATCCTTGCTATGCACTTATTGATTGATATTTTAGGTGTCACCAATGAATTATCACAGGCCTTGCAAAGAAAAGATCAGGATATATTGAATGCAATGAAGTTAGTGTAAATCTCTAAACAACAATTACAACTAATGAGGGATAATTGATGGAATTCCTTAGTGGAAAAAGTATCTCATTTTTGTAATGTTTTTGAAGTTGATGTTGCTATTATAAGTTCTACATTCAAAGGCCGTCGACGATCAGCACGTAGAAATGATGACACAACAAATTTAAATCATTATCGTGTGGAATTCTTTTACATTATTATTGATATGAAACTTCAAGAGCTGAATAATAAATTCTCTGAAACCAGTACTGAATTGCTTCTTTGCATGTCATGTCTAAATCCAAATAATTCATTCTCTGCTTATGATAAGGAGAAATTAATTCAGCTTGCAGAGCTATATTCAATCGATTTTTCTATTGTTGAACTTGTGGCTTTAGAGTACCAGGTATCGACATACATTCTTAATATGCGTTCAAGCGAGGAGTTATCATCTTTGGACAACATTGCTGATCTAGCAAAACAAATTGTTAAGGATAAAAAAGATATCGTGTACCCCTTAGTTCACCGGCTTCTTGTTTTAGCATTAACTTTGCCCGTTGCCACCGCTACAGTGGAAAGAGCATTTTAAGCAATAAAAATTGTTAAACATAGATTGCGCAGTAAAATGGGTGATGGTTGGCTCAATAACTGTCTAGTTCCATATATTGAGAAAGAAGTATTTGATTTGGTTTCAAATGAAGTTGTAATGCAACATTATCAAAAAATGCAAAATATAATGCAAAGCTTGTAATTTTTATTACAGTATAATAGTTTGTTTAGATTATATATATATATATATAAATTTTGTTATAAATGTATATTTTTATCTTTTTATAATTTTGCCCCCCTAAGAATTAAGGCTGATTCCGCCCCTGCGCCAGACCACCAAGTGACGCCGGACTTTCAGGGATGAGTTAGCCCATTGTAATCCAATCGCCCTAAGGGACGAGTCAGCCCATTGTAATCTACCAAAATATTAGTGGAATCATTTAAGACTAGGTCAAGCCCTATGATTTTTCTCTTTTTCAAAAATTTCCACGTAAAAATCTTATGTTCTCTATATATATGAGCTAGAAATCCGTGTAAATACTAAAACACAATATTATAATTCTATCCTCATATTGTATCCCGCAACTAGAAAGTTCATCAAAAGTAAAACCGACTTTTAATTGTTGATCAGATGCGGCTTGTACAAATGATCAGTTGGTTTGATGAATTATTTTTGAGTGGAGATGGGGAGTTATGCATCGGATACAGAGTTGAAGCAGCGTCAATTCGACTTTATGCAGTGGCAATGTGGCATACGGTCCCCTGGCTTCCGTTTTCGCGTCTTATCATTCGACTAGAAACTATACTTTAATACTCTCTTCCCTCTTCTTCCAATATTCAGATCTTAGAAACCGATCCACCGCTACATTTCTCCGGCGCCGCATTCCTGGATCGGACTGCTATATGATCTAAGGTTTGGCCGCTGGGATTAGGGTTTCCTGTCCTTCACGGATCGATGGTCTCAGCTTCCTGAGAAGCTGCAGGAGATGGAAGCGCTGCCTTCCCACTCAGGAAGGCCTCCTATCCGCACAACGAGCTCATCCTCCGGTAGATCCAGCACCGATTTGGACTCTCCTTCCTCGTTCTTCCCCCCCTCCACTGCTATCACACAGAGCCTTTCCTCTATCCTCAACAACCCTCACGCGTCCCGCTCCGACGCTTCCTGGTCTATTTTTTGGCCCTCTGCTTCCGTCGGGGCGCCCGACTTCTCGGCGCCGATTTCCACCTCCGTCTCCCTTCCGGATGTGTCACGTGGCGAATTCCAGCCTTACCTTTCAGCTATATTCGAATCCTACTCCCGCTTTGAGGATGTTCGCAAACACACCAGTAGAGAGACGGGCGATGCCATTGCTGAGTCACGCGGTCACGGGGAGGCTCTCGTTTCCTGTCTTCGGGAAGTGCCGGCGCTCTTCTTTAAGGAGGACTTTGCTCTTGAAGAGGGTGCAGTGTTCCGCGCAGCCTGCCCTTTTTCGCCTTCCATAGCCGAGAACGCCGAACTGCAGGAGAGGCTTACCCACTATTTGGATTTGGTGGAGATGCATTTGGTAAGGGAGATTTCGCTACGATCAGACTCGTTCTTTGAGGCCCAGGTGCAGCTGCAGGGATTAAATGGAGAGATTGTGGAGGCGTGTGTGAAGGTCAGGGAACTGAAGGAGACGATTAGGATCCTGACTGGTGATCTTGTGGGATCAGCGAAGCAGGTGCAAGAGCTCAATGCTACGAGGGGGAACCTTGTGGCGCTGCATCAGATGCTCACGGTGATATTGTACGTTAGCCATGCTCTTTCAGCTTTGAAGCTGGTACGTTTCTATTACATTATTAGCGTTCAACTACTGAGAATATAATATGATCTAGCAATAGAGCTTATTTTTCCTGAAAATACTTTAAATTTAATGGTACTTTGGTTTGCTACGCTCTTATGTTAAATGCGATTGGTTCCTTGTCGATCACAATAAGTCATTCTGTTCAGCTGCTAATCACAAGCCTGTCAACTATCGTGCTGCTAATTTGTTTTGAAAATCACTAAATCTGCTTGTCAAGCTCATGTTAACGTGTTGGTTTTAAACTAATTAGGGGAGATATGATCTACAATGTGAATAAACGATAACATGTGAGTGTTTTTTAAGTCACAGTCACAATCTAAATAATCTTAGTGTAAAAAGTGATCATAAACACTTAAAATCAAGGAATCTTATCCTGCAAGTGTGATACCATATAAAATGAAGGTAATGACTGGGTTATATATCAATTAGTGTCTAACATGCGGTGCTACAGACCACTATATTGCATTCCTTCATGTAGAAATTTTATCTATTATGGATCAGAGAATAGAGCGTCATCGAGACAAATTCTAGTGCCCTTGTTCCCCGACTATAAACTTAGATTGTATTTCTTTTTTTATCTACACATTATAATGCTACTTACACTATTTACGGTTAGAATAGTTTTTTTTGTATTACTTTTGTATCTTTTATTTTAGAGAATGAAATTAAGTTATGTTTTCTTTTATATCTTCAATGTCTCGCTAATTCTTTAGTTTTAGGATACAACAACAACAACAACATCAAGCCTTTATCCCACTACGTGGGGTCGGCTACATGAATCCTTTTTCTCCATTGTGTCCTATTAAAAGTCAAATTCTCGTTTAAATCTAATAAAGAAAGGTCATTCGTTTAGTTTTAGGATGATGATGTAAAAAAAAATAGTAAGTACTAATATAGACTCTTATTTCTTGAATGATAAAATGATGTTTTAAATATCTCTCATTCTTCATTTAATGTATACAATAGCCATGCGTGTAATTAAAATCTAGTGTGATGTATAGCCTTGACGGAGGAATACTAGAATAATTAGGAATATTGAAATAGAATGTTGGCATGCCTAGATATATGATATTTGAATATTCTAGGTTCTATGGAGAGTGAAACTATATGATGGTCATAAATCTTTCTTTTCACCCCTATAAGCTCAATAAAGAATTAGGGATGCATATACATCATAAATCAAAAGGGTCTCATTAGAAGAACTATGTTATTTAAATTCATTTATCCAAAACACGTTATTTTCATACGTATCAAATTTTCCTTGCAAGATTTTCTTTCAGTAACAAAAACTCCAAAACATTATATTTATTTTCAGTAGGATAAGTCATACATTTGAAGTAGTAAAAATAATTATATATAATTAAGCATAACACTTCCTCGTATGTTCGACACTCTACTCATATACTTGCATATTTTAGTGAGCTTTAATTAATTTTTATATCAAAAGAAATCTAAGCATATTTCAAACTCAGCAAGTCACATACTAGCCCATTGTAAGCCCTCCATCACAATGTGACAGTCATACATGCCATAGCCAAGACTTATCTAACGTTGTTTTTAAACATCACATATCACTAATTTTATCATTGAAATCTAAGTCAACCATATAAATGTTATTTACTCTAAGTATTTTAATATAGTTTTATCATATAAAAATAGAAAGAACTTATCAAAATTAAATTTAACATCAAATTTTTAGTCACATAGATGACTAATACTAAGCACTTAATATTTCAGTCCTTCTACCAGTAGAGTTTTTTTCAATTGTAAAACCATTTACTTTATTCATTATACAAGCACAAATGACATTTTTGATAGTGTTACCCTTTAGGGGCACTCTCTTCCTCACATGGATTCTAGTGCTACATTAGATAGATATAAAGATTACGTTTCTCAATGATGACTGAAAATTTTATATATATGGTGCAATAAAAATACATTTAGTCCTTAGATTCAAAAAATATATTATTTAAATTAAAGAAATTCATTTATGATTTAAATTAAGCATCTCATATACGATTATTTGCTTTCTTGGAGGTGTCTTAAAGGTTATTTGCCTATTGATAATATACTTTGGAAGAAAGGTTTTATTATTGTTTCTAAATGTCAATGTTGTTTCATTATTGAGAGCTTTCAACATATTTTTGTGAATGGTAATATTTCCTGCAGAGTTTGGTCTCATTTCTTTAATCTGGCTGATATTAGTTTATTTAATGCAAATTGTGGTTTGGCAGGTATTCTCAAGGTTTGGTTCTCTAAAGGCAAAGGTCATATTCTTAATTTACTTCCTATCGTGATAATTTGGTATCTGTGGAAAGGTAGCAATGATTCTAAGCATTTGGATGTTAAGATGAATGCTAATCGGATCATATCCAACGTGAGAAATAAAATTTTAAAGTTAATTTATATTAATATTCTTTCTATAAATTTTTTTTCTAAATGCCAGTTATTAGCTGATCATTTTGGGATTCATAATGATGTGAGTAGGATTAACCTGGATCGTATTGTGAAGTGGGTTAAGCCCACTGATCCATTTGTCAAGCTTAACATCGACGGTTCTGTTAATGCTACTAAAGCTGGGGTGGGTTGTATTATCAGAAATCACGATGGTAATCCTATTTCTATTTTTTCTGGTCCGCTGAGTTCCTGCTCTGTCTTAACGTCTGAGTTAATGGGTTTGTATCAAGGCTTACAATTATGTTTGAAATTTGGTTTTCAAAATGTTAATATTGAGGTTTATTCTACTTTTGTTATTCATATTATCTCTGATAACAATGCTTGTTTCCCCAATGATTTTTACACTATCAGGAAAATTAGAAAGGCTCTCTCTTTGCTCAATTTTACTATATCCCATATCTATCGCGAAGGTAATGTGTGTGCGGATTGGCTTGCAAATTTTGGTGCTCATAGTGATAATTTTCTGGAGAATCATGTGTTTGATCTTCCAGTTCCACTTAAAGGTATGATTATTCTTGACAAAAATAGATTACCTTATATCCGCCATTCTTAGTTATCTGTTTATCTCTTGTTGGTATGGTGGTCTGTGTTCTTGAGCTGGAGTTATTCGCCTGGGCTGTGGCTGGTGGTTTGCTGTTTCTCTGTCTTTGTGGTTCCAGTGAGCAATTGTCTGGTGGTTCTATTTTTATGTTAAGTGGATGATTAAGTTTACGTTGTGGTTTTGTTCTATGGGTTTTAGTGGTCTCTTTTATTGTACTGC